GTATCATCATTTTTTAAAGAAAATATTATGTTGACTTTTTATCAATTTCTTTAGTCATTATTTATAAATAGCACTTTACTTAAAAACTAACTTTACAATTGTTTTTTATACAACAATAAATCTTGACGAATAGTATATTTAAAATGAATATTTTTAAATAATTAGGTACAATAATTCTGATAATTTTAATAATTTAATTAATAATAAATCATAATTATTTGCATTAAATATCTAGAAGATCTTTAAAACAATCCCTTATTTCGCAATAATGTTAACCATTTCTAAAAACTGTTGAATTTACATGACTGGTTTTTTAATATTAATCCACTAATCAATGACAATAGACAATAGATTATTTTTAGAATGTTAGAAAAGTTGTAAATAATTGTTAAAAAATATCAAAAGTAAAAAAATGTAAATAACAATTTATATCTCGAATATTTAAAGCAAATATTTCCTGATAAGTCATAAAAATAGAGGTATTTAATTCAGTTTTGTAATAATAATAAACATAAAAAATGTTTATGTATAACATAGAGTGAAACTTTAAAAAAAAAAAAAAAAACCATAAATGTTAATTTCATGGAAAAAACCAGAAACGAGATGAATTTTTTACCAATAAAAAATCATTCAATTGATGAAAAAAATTAATGTAAGAAAAAGTTTATGTACGAGATGATTTCCGGAGCTTTCAATGAACTGAAACAAGATTTCTCATCTCCAATCTGATCGATAGCCTACTTGCTTTTTCTCTACTCATCCAATAAAACATGAACTAGCCTACGCTTAAATTAATTCTTTTTGTCATCAGCTTCCGGTGATAATTTGATAAAGAAAATTATATTAAGGATTACTTGATATAATATATATTTATATATAAATAACTAAAAAGAAACATCCGATGATACAAGCACCTGCTATAAAGCAGCAGCTCTTTTGCTCTTAAACACGAACCGGTCGCGATTTATCCATCCTTGTTATTTCTTCTTCAAGAAACTCGTTTCACTTTGCTGATATTTTATGTTCTCGTTACATGGTTCTTACCACTCTTTCTCTTAATCTACTTTCTTTTCTTTTTATTTTATCTTTCATTTTATATGTCTTTTTATCAGTTGCTTACAAGAAAACGGTGTTTATTTTAACCAAATTTTCATTTTTTTTTTCTAAAAAAAAATTAATTTATTATTTGATTTTCATAATAAATAAATGCGTACTTGGTAAAATTTTTAATGATTTTAAAAAATGTATAAATATTGCAAAGATAAAGAATCATAGAATAATGCATTATTGTCGCTATCATTTTTATTATTCTGTTCTTGAGATATCATGAGTTTATTTATTTATTTACTTATTACTTATTTATTTGTCATGCAAATTTAAATTCCACTAGCATCAAGTCAGTTGTGTACTTATAACTAACAAACGTTTAATTTGCATGACTTTATCATGAGGATTTAACGAATCTAATCTACAGATCTATATACGTATTTCAAACATTTTTGCATACTAATTTTTTGGTTTTAAACTTGTTATTTACGTTCACAGTAAAAAATTTATCCTTATTGTTTGAAAGATGTTTATGTTTAAAACATTACTATAAAATTATCGAAATTTTTGTTTAGCTTTATTATCAAATAATTATTAACAAATAGTTGAGGCTTTTGATTTTTACGAGACTAATGATTTCATTTGTTTTATTATCACTATAGATAAAAAATAAATTTTTTTATGTTAACTCATTAAATGTCTTTTAGTATGTTTTATGTTAAAGTGTGAATAAAAAGAGTAAAAATAAAATGAATGACACTTCATTTAATATAATAATTAACGAGTAAATTGATTCAGTCATTTAAAAAATTTCAGTAGATAATTAAAAACAGGTGGAGCACTACCCAAAAATGGAATTAAATATGAAATGGACCATTTGATGGGTAGCCTGTTATTTTAAAAATATATTTCTCTTTACATGCCAATATTTATTTTTATTATTATAGTAATATTTATTACTAAAAATATCTAAATGATATTTATAAAAAATTATTAATATTGGTGGAATTAGGAAATTATTTCTAAGAGGTGTGAAATAATCAGCAATGGAAAATACTTTAATTAATCTGTTAATTCATTTTATTATTTCTAATAGTACAAAAAACACCCAATATTATTAACTGCAGTTAAAACGTGTTTTTGAAAAGATGATTTTGCAAAAGGTTATTTAATTTCATCATTGAAAGTCAACAGGCTCAAGTCTTCATAATTCAAACTTTCAGTAAGCATACAGACTATCTTAAGGAATCAATCATTTTTGATTATAACATAAATATAAATAAAATGCGAAAAGAAGGAAGAGTTCTCTTTAGTATCATATCACGTGAACCACTGGCACTCCTAGAATTCCATCGTGACCATGCGATTCACGGCCTTGTACGCTTTCTAAAAAGATAATAAAACATGCGACGCTGGCACAGGGCGCGATAACTTTACTGTTGGGCGATAAATTTGCGAGGGACCCGGGAATCCGAGTGAAAGAGCTATCGGCAAATACACAAACATGAGCGCGTGACCAGGAGGATCCTGTATATGTATAATTTCTGTAGGGTCCCTCCCCCTCTCATTTTACATCTCCTCTATCCCTTCTACGTGTAATGTTCTCCACACTCTAAGTTTGCTGGCCCACTTGCCGTGTAGTCAAGTGACTTGATTGGATTCCTCAACACTTGACTCTTGCGGCAGCCCTTATCTTCTTGCATTCTATCGTTTCATTTTGTTTCAACTATTTTTTAATTGTTTATTTTAAATTTAGCATCTTAATCACTTCTACCAACCATTGACGCATATCACATTCGTTATCTAAATAAGGATCTTTAAGTAGTTGTATGAATTATCAGTATTCTGATTATTTTAACATCCTAGAAGGACGAATTGGAGGGAAATGAGAACTGATATGTTTGCGGTTTTTCATCGAATCAACAGTAACTTAAGCTTTATTCTTTGCAAAAAATAATTGCAACATTTATTTATTTACAAATAATGAATTTTATATAATTATAAATAAGCTACACTTCAATTACCTTTCTAACAAAAGAAAATTTTTTCGAATGTATCTGCATTAACTTTTCAACAATAGTTAATGTTAATGTCTTTTTACGATAAAAATTTATTTAAATTTATTATAAAGAAAAGCTTGACAAATTGATTAATTATGTAAATTGTTGAAGTAAAAATAGAAAAAAAAAAGTTTTGTGATGCATCTATCAGTTGAAAAGCTATGTTAACAAGGACCATTTTGTAGTGGTATTACATATACATGACATTTAAAAATCTATTCAAGTACCACTTAAAATTTAGCATCTTAATGGGACTCACGTACAATTGACGTATTATCTAAATGGGGTCTGAAAATAACAGTGATAATCAACATTGAAATTCTTACAAACGTTATCAGAAATTACAGTTACTTGATTATGATGAAAATGAGATTATTTTTAGACCCACGTGTATGTTATTCAATGTATTTAAAGATAAAAAGTATGAAGAAACCTTTGCTTCCTATATAACATATATAAAACCTGGCAAACTATAATTCAGCCTTGATCCCTTCTTTATGTATACGATAACATGCGTTCCTCATTACCATAAAGACATCGTTGTTCGCGGTAGCAAGTTGATCTTGTGAAAAGAATCAGCGGACTTTTTATTATATATATATATATATTATATGATTTAAATCCATATACATTTTTTTACGTTATGCATCGTCCACTGTAATACAATTCGATTCGTTGTAGCACTTGTTTTATAACTAGCAAAAGAGATATGAAGTTGCACTCTTGAGTTATGACTGGCATCAAAACCAGTCGAATGACGTCACGGATAATTAGTTCTTTCATATATAGTTTATCCTTGTTTAACAATTACCAACTATCATTTATCCTCACATTCTTTTTCTTCATACACATACATACATTCACTCTCACTTCTTTGTATTTTAAAACCCTCCTTTGGATTCCCGCATCCCACTTTTTGCCATCTCGTCACTCTCGGCCCCGCTTATCTCACCAATTCTAAAAATAACCGTTGTCACGGCCACTAGCGGCATTTTAAAAACCTGCATGTCACAAACACATCTTTTTGATCATCAACAATACCTTTACCGCCATCTAAAAGCGACCTTTACAACCTAAACATTTTCACTTGACCAACAGTGACATCTATCCATGATTTATCTCGCAGTCGGTAAAACAGTTTTCATTGATCATTTTATTTTACGCAATCTTGATTGTAATTTATTTAATTAATTAATGAAAGATATGATTTTAATTGCTTACACAGCAATTGTAAGTAATTATTACGAAATTTTTATCAAATTGATTGAAAATGACACAATGAACTAATTAATTATTTGTTTGAGATTTAATGTCTTATCTTATCTGCGATAATGCTAAAAAATATTGACTAATAATAGATTAGCATTGAAAGAACACGATCCGAAAACAGTTCCACTTGGATATCATATTTCAAATCTTTTGATTTTTCATTACATATATTAAACAACAGTTGTGTTTATTATCATTTTGATTATCGATCTATTGATCATTCAGCCTGCCTTTATAAATAGCTACGTACTTTCGACTACGTATCAGTTTTTTTATCGATTCCTCACGTTACTGAATTAGTTGAATTTTACATTAGAATCTCCAGCGTAGTAAATGCTTTCTGAATTACTCATAATGTGTTCAGCAAATACATTTAATCAATTGTTGAAATTATTATTAAATAATGGAAAATTTATTTTTTAAATGATTCATTGAGTGATGTGATAAAAGTGCTGTAAAAATCCAATTAAATAACATTTTTTTTTCAAATTAATCACTGGCGATGAACCATGTTTTTAACCCACTAAAAATTTTAACATTCAATTTCATTTAATACAAGTTACTAAATAACAAATAAACATTATTTAGTTATTATTTGTACATTTTTATCTACTTAACGAACACAATGTTTTAATCATTGAAAAACGTAATTGAAAAAAATTATGTGAATAATTGGGTATATTGTGTTATTGTTTTCGCTTTTAAAGAATCGTCAATTATATCAACTACAAGCATAAGTGAACATTATGAACCACTAGACCTATATAGACAACATATTAAATCTCAGATTATATCTAGAATTTGCAAAGGAGTTAAAAATAGAATTAAAGTAATTTGAAATTCAGAATCACAAGTGATAAAAAGTTATTTAAAGCTGAAATAGATACAGAATGGAAAATTAATGAGATTACGAAATCCCATCATGAGCTTTTGATGTTAATCAATAATAGCGAGGACAATGGACATGTTAAATTCTTGGATAGTGTGACTTAAATAATTCAAACAACCCAACCATAACAAGCCGAATTGTCACGCCAGGGCTTTACATTCTGCACGTGCCTTCTTTGGAATCGAAAGTGAGGCAAGGACTTTTATTTTATTCTTTTTTTTAACAATGTGATTAATTCATTTACATATTACGTCTGTCAAAAGGTGTTATAATGAAGAATATTCCAATTTAAATATAAGCTAAAGCCATTTTTTAAAATAATCCACGCTGAACGAAATAAAGTAGTTGACTTGGCTAAATTTAAGTAATTGGAGCAATATTTATTTCCATCAATTACTTGTGTAAATGGTAAATTTTTGATATCTAATAGAAAGTACTCATCACCATAAGCTATAGTTGATATCAAGTGGTAAAAATTTTCGAAAGTAAGATTCTGATTCTGACTGATCTATGATGATAATTAGATAAATCAAACCTTGGTTGAAAGGAGCATAAAAAAAATCCTGGGATTGTAATTTTGGCCGCTAGGCTTTTTAACCAGTTTCGTATCTAGGGCATTTGAAGTCCTTGTAATCTTCACTTGAGGTTGAATACGAGAGTGAAGTGAAAACGTGGATGCCTTTAGGGGCCTGAAGAACGTGACCAAGCAGACTAGAGTACCTCTAGAAAAGTGTGGAGTATAATACGTCTTGTGATTCGTGCATATTGGCCATCACGGGGGGTTCCAAGTGTCACGATAGTGAAAGGAAGAGTAGTTTTAAGACAGTACGAATAACACCGTGTTAGAAGATGGTTTAACTTGTATAATATAACACTTTTTAATGGTATTGATCAATCCAGCACATCACTTACTGAAATATTATCATTGGATATCTCTATATTTTCAGTATCAACATCAATAGTCTATTCGGAATTCAGCCAAACATTTACATTTGAATAAACGTCTGAAAATTCTGCAAGTAGTTAATCTATTACCACATGCTCCTAAGAAAGACGTGAAAGACGTAAACGTAGATAATTTCAAAAATAGCTTCAGAAGATTCTGGACTTGAAGCAAAGAATATGATAAAAATAACGAAAAAGTTGGAGATCAGCTTATAACTTTGAATGATCCAGGAGTCAACCTATCAATTGATCAAAAAAGCAAAGCCTATTCAAAGCTTTCATTCATACAATCATCTTCTAAAAGACTTCTTCAACGTTTTTTGTGTAATTTTTTCCAATTTCAAGTGTTAAATTTAGCCAGTTTAATCATCTTGGTAGTTATTATTCAACTTCCGTGACTGATTAACCAACATCATTTACTCAATCAAGCTGGATTGATTGTTTTAACGTAAATTAAACTTTAAATAAGTGTTTTGTTCAATTTTCCTGCAGTCTTTTAATTGGCATTGTCAGTATAATTAAACTCAATACCAGAGTTTCCAAGTGATTGTAATATTGTTGACTTTTTATTTGAATTTTGCAACGCATATACTTGGTGGTGTTGATACAGAAATGCATCAGTGAAGTTGGTGTATCAATCAAAAAGAATCCAATTGGTGTTTAGTTACTGTTTCTGTAAAATTATCTTATGTAAAAATTTAGTTTAAGTGTTCATTAGTATTTTGCTGTTAGTTTAAGCGATTCATGAAAAATTTTTCTATGTATGAAGTGAAGGCTGTCATTTTTATTGATAAATACCCGCATTGTTGTTGTGTGCCAATACTTTCATAGTCAATAGTTACTCAATTTTCATATTGTATCATACACATAGGTTTTGCTTGAAGTCTATTATCATAAACTACCAACTCAGCAACCAAGTGACAGTACACAGTGGAATAAATTCAAGTAAAAAGTTACATATTATTGAATCATCAATGTTTTGCTCTTGCTCGCGACTGATGAAAATCGACAACATGGATTCGACAAGAGATCTCAAAAGACTGCTTTATGAGCGCACTGAATCTCTGAAGCATCGTGATGAGCGAGTGGAAGCTTTAGAAAAAGCGTTAGCAGAAAAAGAAGCCACGATTCGTTATTTACAGAATGAAATTGATAAATTTCGTCAGATTGTGGAATTGTCTATGCATGCAGGACCTCTAAGTCCTAGTCAAAGATCAAAAAGACAAGCTATTTCTGCAGAACCTCTCAGAAATGATTCAAAACCTCTTGTTAAATTCAACAAACCTCAAAGGTAGTTAAGTCTATGGAATATTAATATTTTTTTCACGATGATGTAAATTTTCTACACATCTTAATATTATTATTCGATTTATAAATACTATTTATTTATTTATTTATTTATTCTACACAAACAAATATTCAATATTACGTCAACAAGACAAGTTTAAAAAAATTTTGATCTATTTTTGTGTCAATTCTGACATGAGAACTTGAAAGTAAAATTGAATACATGAGAGTTTTATACTTTTCCTACATGTTGACCTACATTTTTTTTTTTGTTAGTTCGACGTAATTGTATTTTTCCTGTACTCATTAACCAATACATGCTTTTTATAGTTCCATTTTTTCACATCTGGAGTTCTTTAAAGTTCAAATTACTTGATTATTCAGTAATGTTCATTTTTAAAGTGTTTCCGTTAATTTGTCTAATGAATAATTAATGAAAAAAAAGAAATGTAAACTGAAAGTTTACATAACAAGTAACATGTAAAAATGATGAAAATTTTTAAGATTGTTAACATGTTATTTACATGAGTGAATGTAAAAATTGTCATTTATTTTTGCAATGTTTTCTTCACATGTTTTCAACATTGTTGATTATATTTTTTTTTTATCAGTTCAATATAATTCAGTTATTTTCGTTAACGTTTCATAATCTCATCTACCTTCCTTGTTCTTTTTTTACTTAAATCAATATTTACGACTTGATCAGCTTCAACTTACCTTTGTTTTCTAAAAAAATTTATATTAAAAATAAATAAATTTAAAAATATGCTAAAATAAATATACAAAATAATTTAATTATACAGTTATGATTATTCTTTTTTACTGAAATGATTTTAACTATGTATTAAAAACAAATTTTTTTATAGATCTCGAGATTTAATAAAAGCGGCTATTCTGGACAATGACTTCATGAAAAACCTAGAGCTGACACAAATTAGGGAAATCGTTGACTGCATGTATCCTGTAAGTTTTCCGGCTGGATCAATTATCATTCAAGAGGGAGATGTTGGATCAACGGTTTACGTTATGGAAGGTACGTTACAATATTTATTTTACAATGAATTAATTTTAGTTTATAAATAGAGTCAAGTATGAGAAAAAAAAATCTATTTCAACATGTTACCAAGTGAAACAAATGCTTGTTACTAAGTGAAACAAATCGTCTTGAAGCAAGTGATCCTGTGAATATGTGTCCTTCATCACTTGCAGTATTCCCTTTCCTTCTCGAAGGTCAAAAGGAAATTCCGGTATATGTGTTATGTAAAAAATGTATCTAGCTAGTTTAGATTCATACTCATTGTTTAAATAATCAAACTATCTCAACAATCGAAGAAGGATGACACATTCATCAATCATCAGTAGTTGCAGTTTACAATTGACTTGCAAATTGGACGTAAAAAACAATAAACAGTATTTGCAAATTTTCGAGTATTATTTGGCACATATTCAATTTCTTGTCATTCCACAAATATCATAATATAAATATCTTGACAGTAAAATTATTTACTTGAAAGCTGCAAAATTGAAAAAATAGTAGATAAATAAAGATAACTGCCAATAAGGATTTCATGTTATTTTTCAAGTTTCAAAGGCTTATTGTCATAAAAAATATCAACAAGTAATGAGCAACAGGTTGTTATGGAAAATATTCTGGTCCTTACAAACTGAGCACCACTGGCCTTTCTCTCACGTTTCAAAGCCACAGTGGGGATTGCCATATTGGAGAAGAGTACAAGGGACATGGAGGTGGAATAGAAGGGGAAGAAAGGGAATCCAGCAGCGGGTCCTGATGTTCTTGGTGTGTAGTTTCCACCAGTAGTAAGAGCTGACAGCTGTGCGTACGTCCAGGGATTTCGTTTAATCCCAGACATTCAAGTTTGCTGTCATTGTCTTCTTTAGTAACACTATCATGATTCACGTGAATCTGTATCTTAAACTCTCAAGTATCATAGATACTTATTAACTCATAATGTATTTAAATCGTCTGTGATAGTTCCAAAGTTAACAAAAGTGTGAAAAAGAATCCAAAAATAAATTAGATCATCAAGATCTTGGATGTATAAATAAAGAATTATTGGAGAACGATGATTAAATTTGTCATTCATCCTTGAAACAGTTGGAGATGTTTAATATAAAATATTTCATTTAAATTATTTTGATAACAAGCTATTATTTAATCATGAAAGTCAGAAGTTATCCTGGCAGAGCAGTTCTTGAAGATCCAGAGCTTCTGTTAGACCCAGAAGCAACTCGTGGAAAAGCTATGGAACTACTTTATGAAGCTAGTTGGCGAGAATGTGGTATTAATTGGGCCAATGAGTCGCGCAATATATCGAGTAATCTATCTCGAGATATAGACGAGGTTGAATACAAAAAACCTTACGCAGATGTTATCAATCAACTAGAGAACGTTTTAGATTCATCAAGTCCGCCCATTAATACACCAAGATCACATAGTTCTAGTAGTGAAACTACAGATAGTGATTGCTCGGAACTTGGCAGCAATAGTCGAAGAAAAAAGCATCAGAGAAATCAAAATAGCGGATTTTTAATACCTAGACCAAGACTTATTGTTCCTGTTCATACTTACGCAAGAAAGAGGCGAACTGGAGCTCTTGCCCCTTGCAAAAGGCATCAAAATCGTGAAGGTAGATTGTAAATAACTTGGCCGTTTTACCATTCTCACATTTATATTAGTATTAAGTTGGAAATGTAGTTGAGTACGTCGAATAATTATTGAATTTAACGTAGCCAAAACCATATTATTATAAAACTTGAACTTTCTAATTTCTAAATAATGTATTTTATTCTTTCCATTTAACTACGATAGCATAAAAATGAAATAAAAATGAAAAAAAATTAAAGAATTAGGTTTGACATTATTTCAACATCAGAATTATAATATATCTGCGGTTATTCTCAAATTTAGATCGTCAGTTATGTTGAAACAAAGGCCATGAAAAAAATTTTAATTTATACCTCTAGTGTCTTGAAGAGAAAACTTCCGGATATAAAGATTTTGGATGAAGGCCAATTACAATGTTTTTTATTTCAAAAGGTCAGTGAAAGTGTAATATGTTTATAAATAACAATCAATCGCAATTACAATTGAAATTTTTTTGGAAAACCTAGCCATTATTGTTATCGTTGCTAAATTCTTACAATAAGAATCATTGGAACTTGTAACATTTATTTAATTTCTCTTCAACAATTGATATTTCTTTTTGTTCTATTTATTGTGGAATCAAATGCAGACCTGATGGAATAATACTTACATTTAAGTATGATTAGATCATCGCAAAAAACACGACGAGTGTCTCAGACAGTTTAAGTGAGTTGTACATGTTAAAACATTTCAAAATGAATATCAGCAAATTTCTTATTTGCAATCTCTGTTATTTAACTTTATGATTATTATAAGTCATATTGACAACGAAAATTTTCTCTTTTCTATGCAAAAAAAAAATAAATAAATGAGTCATCATAATGAGTTTACCAGAAGCTACTTAAATTTATGTTAAAAGTAAACGAAACATGTGAAAATTATTTTACCACTAAAAGTTGAAATTAATGAGTTTATCTAAAATTTGAATAACCATAAGGAGAATTTGTTTTTCCTGAACGAGGAGGTTTATGACCTAGCATTTGTAATTGTCTTAAATGCTGTTTAATATTCTTCGGACTATCAGCTATAATAAGTTTAAAAGCAACATATCCTCCATATCCATCGAAGCTTCTCCAGTAAATTCCTAGACCATTTAACGGTTTCATTAATTCATCAGGAATAGAAAGTTTTCGAATATCCAGAAATGGCATGAGCTGTTCATCAATCTCACTCTCATCATTGGTCACTACAACTGGTTGAAAAGTCACATAATATTTATCTGGTTCACTTAATTCCGTGACATTGGCTATTGGAGCAGTTGTAGGAAGCTCCATGTCAGACGTCATTAAATTTATTCTAATACAACATATTTTTAATTTAACTTCAATTTCCTTCTAACGGATTATTTCATCCTGTACATTTATCTTACCTCTGTGTAACTGGCTTGAAGTATTTTGTCGAATTAACAGATTTATTTGTAATATTTTCCATATCCTTTCCATAAACTACTAAATAAAATCTTCGAAAATTCGCATCTTTAGCAAAAGACAGACCTGAAGAATAAATTTATTATCAACATTTTTTTATTACTCAGCTATTAATATTATTTTATTGTATTCAAGATAAGAAATAAATGTGATAATTACCTGTAACTACAGATTTCAAAGGCAGCAATATGTCATCTATTTGTAAAGATATGTGACCATAACTCATTTTACTTACATTAGTACATCCTGGATTTTCTAACCAGCCACTAGTCTGATCAATGAATCCGTCTGCACTCAATTTAGCTTGTTGGTATTGAATTTTCATTATTTTATCTTTCACTATTAATCGAACACCACTGATTATACTAAAAACAATTTATTTTGATGATTGAAAATAATTATGGAATTCTATGATAAATATAATAAGTTGCTACTAGTGATGTAGTGCTACATACTATCCTTCTCCAGTGTTCGATGATACCCTGTCTAGACAAATTGAGCTGGTCTTGTTTTCATTGTAGGAATTATCACAATAGCATTTGCATGTAGCACATAAAGATTTCATATACTCCAACCAAGCATCATACCTCTCTTCTTCATTATTCGGAGTTAATGAAAAAGTTCTTTTGAGCTCAATCGTAGTCTGAGAGTATTCAGGTTCCTAATTATTGCCAATTTTTATATTAAAAAATTTCCCTTGGCTGAAACAGTTTTTTTTTAATACCTTATATATTTTACATTGCCGTAAACGTCCAGGGCAATAATCAGTCACGTTTACTGCACTTTTTGATTCATTTCTGTGAAAAAATGTTTGATTCCTATACACCACACAACGTCCTCTACATTTCCTACCACGTTCAACTAAATTCCATTCATTTATCCTCACCGAAGACATAAAGTTGAAGCAATCAAACGTTCGACCTGATAAATGAAAATATAAATAAATTATCTTACAATAAACCATTTTATACATAAAACATTCAATTTTATACTATTTTTTTTTAGTTTAAAAAAATAAACAATTTAAAAATCTCAATGAACAGAGATTTGTATTAATATAAAATACAGAAAATTATAAAATGATGACAAGAATTTGGTAGATTACGTGGAGTTTTGAATATGATTCTTGAAGCTTCTCAAGCACAAAGAAGTCTTTATTCTCAAATTAAATATTCTCAATTATTATTACACTAATTAAAACAATTAATGTAGTATATTTGACAAGTACAATGAACCTTGAGTATTATCTCTTGAATTAGCAAGCTTCACTGATGTATAATTTTTTTCTGGCCCATATGGTTCAATAATAAATTTGTCTTCTTCTCCAGCAACTGAATTCACCTGAATATTTAACACAATAATTCCCACAATCAAAAAGATGGTCATTCTCTCCATTTTTTAAGAATATTTCTGCTATCGTCTGACTCTTTAATAACTACGAATGTCTTTTGGTCGTTGTATTTGTAAGTTGTGGTATCTTCTCTGAACAATTTTCGAAGACATTAAAAACTAATCTTCTCACGAATATCGTTAATAGTTTGGTCATGAATTTATCTATAAAAACATCATAAGTAACGATTTAATATGACGTAGTACTTTTGAACACTTCTTTGATAAAAAATGAAATTGACATAGAATTTTTTGATAACTCACTTATACTTGTCATTCGTTTAAATTAATCCAAATGACTATAATATTTTTGAAACAGTTTATTGCTACTTTTATTTATTATAATATTATTTTATGCATCTATTAATAAAAGTATATTGATAAAAAAATTTACGAATTATATGAGTATTGAAGATTGTTAATTTATGAAGAAAAAGTAGAACTTTGGAAAGTCTTTGTTTATAAGAAAAAATTAATCAAGTGGTATAATAATTTATAATTTGATTTAGTTGACGTTACACTGTTATATATTTAAGAAACAATATAATTTAAATTTTATTACAGTAACATACATGATGTATTATATATTCTGTAACGTAAGTTAAGATATCGTATACCAAGCATGAACTCTCTTTGTCCTGTTATGTCGTCATGGTGAACCGGCGACTGGTGTGCCTTCAAGCATGCTTAAAGGTTCAAACTTGTATTGCTTCACGTAAAAGTCTATTCTTTCCTTTTACTTTAAATGCTTTTACGTTGGAAAAAAATGCAAGTCGGTTGTAAGATCTTCGTTAGAACCTTTTACTTGCATATTCAAAGAATACCCTTGTAGTTATTGCAACAGTAAAAAGCACTGGTGGTCTCTTTATTTTATGTTTTACTTTTAAATCTTATTGTTGGAATGGAAGTCAAGTTGGATTTAAGCTCTAACACAAGAGTGCAATTCGTATGATTATTTTAGGCATCCTTTATTAGCTATTTTTAACATCACATTTATCATTGGAGACAAATATGTAGTATTATTCTGAACTCAATAGCATAGTAGAGATAAAACTCGATTCTCCAGAAAATATTCCACTATTTAGTTATTAACTTTATATTTATCTTACATTATTTTTGTCTAAATAAATCTGTTTCAAAAATATAATTGAGTAACAGTTCTTTTTCTAATACTTATTCAATCAAGTTGAAGTTTTTTTTGCATATTTTAACTTCAAGACTTGAATTCATGATAAGTACAAGAGGTCAGAGATCAATAAACCATCTATCAAGCGTTTCTCCTTTTAATTTTATGTTTTTTTTCCTTCCAGTCAATAGTGTGTTATATTGTATGCATGTGAAAAGATAGAATCGAGGACATAAGACTATACTGCTAAGCAACCTTGGTGAAAGGTTGATTTTTTTTTATTTTACTACCGCCTACAGATTCAAGCAGAACCAATCGAAATCGTAACAAATTTATATATATATATATATATATAAATGCATATGTGTACTTATGAATATGAAGACATATTACATATATTTCCATGGATGACAATAAGATAACAGTGAATTTATCCTAACAACTTTATTCCAACTATCTTGTGTTACGATTCATGTTTATGCCATATCGGAATATAAATATAAATTATATTATATTTATGAATATGAAAAATCTTATAACTTCTTGTGTGACACACACCATTGCACTTTATTCCTTGGTGACTAGCTAGTTCATACGTATATCTTGTCTGTCCCAGTTCTTTTCAGTTCGTACACTAGGCCAGAGGTTCGCAATTAGATCCGGGAATGAATTAATTAAATACTGGCTTAATCTATTTTACATGTGCTTTGATAAAAAAAAAAGCCATGGGTTTTTATTTCTTCACTAATCTATTTATGCTACATTGAATGAATTAATTAATAACCGATTATTTAAAAGAAAAAAATGAATATTTTAACAGGAATAAAATATTTGTAGCTGTATTTGACTAAAATATTAAAAAATATTCTCTAAAAATGTGCTAATATCTATTTAATTTCATTAGAACACAAAAAAAAATAGAATGGAATAAACATTACCTTATAATTATGGAAATAAATTCATGATCGAGATGAAATCATTGTTTATAAATTTATGTTAAGATAAAAGAAGCAAATCTAAATATAACATTATTATTAATAAATATATCTTGAAATAAATGTTGATTTCATTGAAATCAATCAAACCATTTTCGTAGAAATGAGTAATCATGGATTCAGACAATAAGTAATTTTTGAAAGCGGACATGAGTCTATTATTTAATATACCTCGAGTTAATAACAAACAAGCTTTAACGAGTGAAGACATTGCTCTGACAAGTAGAAGACCCACGTACATTTCTGTACTAGTACTCAGTTAAGAGCATCATAACTAAACACGATAAAATGTAAGAATACTATCTTTCAATTCCACTTGAACGATGATCTACGTTTGGAGTACGTCTTTGTATTACAACATTTCCGGTATGCTAAATATCCTTCACATTCTTCTCCAGCATCAGCAAAAAAAATTTCTAATGGATTTCTTGTATAAAATCAATAGTTTCGAAATAGATGATTTTTATTATTATTTATCTACTCAATGTAATTAAATATATTAATTAATTGAATTAACTGGATATTTAGATTTACATAATTTATGATTGATTTACTTGATTGTTACAGAGGGAAAAGTGGAAGTGTCTCGAGATGGAAAATATCTTAGCACTTTGGCACCAGTTAAAGTGTTGGGAGAATTGGCTATCCTTTATAATTGTAAGAGAACTGCAACGATAACAGCTGCAACTGATTGCCAACTATGGGCCATTGATCGACAATGCTTCCAAACTATTATGATGAGAACTGGACTCTCCAGACAAGCTGAATATACCGATTTTCTCAAGAGGTCATTTTTTACTTTTTTTTTTTTACTTATATAAATTAGAATTAATATTATTTTTCTTATTTATAGTTTACTAAAATAAAATAATTTTATTTTGTTATTATAGTGTGCCAATATTCAAAAACCTTCCAGAAGAAACTCTTATCAAGATTTCTGACGTCTTAGAAGAGGTAAAAATAATTGATAAATGGTTAAAAAACATATTTATCAAAAAAAAAGTTTTTAAATTCAAATGAAACTTTATCTAACGATTGATGTTAATTTAATTTAATTAAATTCATACAGACTTTTTATAATAATGGAGATTACATAATACGTCAAGGAGCTAGAGGTGATACTTTCTTTATAATCAGTCGAGGTCAGGTGCGTGTGACTATAAAGCAACCAGATACAACAACCGAGAAATACATCAGAACATTAGGAAAAGGTGATTTCTTCGGAGAGAAAGCTTTGCAAGGGTATCTATTTTTTTATTATTAATTTCAAAAATAATTGACTATATAAAGGAATAATTATATTAATTAATTGATAATAAACTTTCAGAGATGATTTAAGAACTGCCAATATAATTGCCGATGATCCTGAGGGTGTAAGTTGTTTAGTCATAGATCGAGAGACATTTAACCAATTAATATCATCGCTGGACGAAGTTAGAACCCGATACAAGGATGAATTGGTCGAGCGTAGAAGGTAAAAGCAATACCATGAATTTTTTTATAATATTTGTTAAAAAAAAAACAATTATTAACCACTTACTTAACACATTATTTGAATGATAAAAAACTACTCTTCTTTAATTGTTCAATTAAGCATAATATTTTTTCACATAAAAAACATGTTGTATTGTTTTTTCATGCTTCACTTATTCTCTAGGATGGGAGAGTGAGTTTAGACTGAAAGTAAGTCACGATATTAATATTCCATGACAATAATGAATAATGTAAACTTTACCTGGTAAAAATTAATTCAATAGAATGGCAAACGATTTTTTGTTAGTACTATTAGATTTTAAAAGCAATTCTGATTACTTAGATAGATAGGCAGATCGTACTTGGAGTTCTGTAAAATTTTTAATTAAATCATTGAGTAACCTAAAAATTAGTTTCCTCTTTATTTTTAAAGGAATTGATATGTTGAAAATCTGATAATTACTTTTGCTTCATTCCTGCTTTCTACTTTCTTAGTTGAAAACTTGAATTTTTCAAATTAATTAAAGTAATTACGTTACCTTTACTCTCAGATAATTTTCTTCATGCTATTTGAATTATATAGTTACAAACCTAATTTTTATGAAAAATTTTTAACTTTCTTAGAAACAGTTAACTTTAATGAATTTTCAATTTTTTAACTAAGACAATAACATTAAATATTACTGAATCTAATTGTCTTATTGTTATTTGCAGATTGAATGAAGAATTCCGTGACCTTCGACTTCAAGATCTCCGTTCTTTAGCAACACTTGGTGTTGGTGGCTTTGGACGAGTAGAATTAGTCCAAATAGCTGGAGATAATTCAAGATCATTTGCATTGAAGCAAATGAAAAAATCCCAAATAGTCGAAACTAGACAACAACAACATATAATGTCAGAGAAGCGAATAATGGGTGAAGCTGACTGTGATTTTGTCGTGAAATTATTCAAGACGTTTAAGGATAGAAAGTACCTCTATATGTTAATGGAAGCTTGTCTTGGAGGTGAATTGTGGACAATTCTCAGGGATAAAGGCCATTTCGATGACAGTACTACAAGGTTTTATACTGCATGTGTTGTTGAAGCATTCGATTATCTTCACTCAAGAAATATTATTTATCGAGACTTGAAGCCAGAGAATTTATTACTGGATAGTCAAGGGTACATTAAAATTTTCTTCCTATTAACGCGTTTCTGGTATCTTCTCATATTATAACTTTCACTCGACATTTCATTTATTTATTGATGATTTATTTCAACTTTCTAAGCTATTTTTGGTGTGTGAAGAAAAATTTTTTACACAAAATTTGCTAACGTCTATTAATAAATGATTTGTATTATTTAAAGTGAGTAATTTATAATATAAATACTCATTTTAAATAGCAAATATAAATTACCTAGTTAAACGATGAGTACTATTTATATTGTCATGCATTTTAAACATTGTACATTATCATAAACGATTAATCATTTAGAAAATAAATTTGTAATAACTAATGATTGTGAATAAATGTTTGTAGGTATGTAAAACTGGTTGATTTTGGATTTGCGAAACGTCTAGACCATGGTAAAAAAACTTGGACATTCTGTGGAACTCCAGAATATGTAGCACCCGAAGTAATTTTAAATAGAGGTCATGATATAAGTGCAGATTATTGGTCGCTAGGAGTGTTAATGTTCGAACTTTTAACCGGAACTCCTCCATTTACTGGAGCGGATCCAATGAAGACCTATAATATCATTCTGAAGGGTATTGATGCCATAGAATTCCCAAGGTCTATTACAAGAAATGCCACTGCTTTGATAAAAAAATTATGTAGGGACAATCCGGCAGAACGTCTTGGGTACCAGAAAGGAGGAATTAGTGAAATTCAGAAACATAAGTAAGTTTAAATCAACGTATGAATTAATAATTTCAATATTAGGGAAGCTAGAAATTAATTATTTATAACTTACAATTACAGATGGTTTGATGGATTTAATTGGGAGGGCTTAAGAGCAAGAACTTTAGAACCCCCCATTATGCCAAGAGTTCAAAGTGCTACAGATACCACCAATTTCGATGAATATCCACCAGACTCAGATCCTCCACCTCCAGATGATCTTTCAGGATGGGATAATGATTTTTAAAACTTACCTCTCGAATTAATTAGTTAATTTAATAGCTAATTAACGGTCTGAAAATCATCGACTATCATTGTTATTTAAATGCTTTTTAATTATCACGAATCTTCCGAAAGATTTTTATACATTTTACTAAACTATTATGTATTGAAATTAGAATATTTTTTTAATATTAGAGGACATAAATGAAAATGTTTAAAAAGAGTAAAACACTTAACATTGAAAAGAAAAAACGACTACAACATTTTATAAAAATATTAAAGTAGACAAGCAATTTTTTACGTTAAAAAGAAAGCAATAACTGATTTTAAGTCATACAGAAGAACCTCGTGATAATCGGACGTCGATAAATTTTATATTTGGGAGACAGTCTGATTACTATTGTTTAGTTACCGAAATAAAATTGAGTAACTTACATGTCTTAATGAATTGATTATTCATAGTATTTTTATTATTATTGTTACAATTTTTAAGCGAAAAAGTTATAAAGGCCTGTGATAACAAAAAATTAGGCCACTAAGAATTTATGATTGTACATTAAAAGTCTATTTAATTATAAAGGCAGAATATGTTTAGAACATTAATTGATGGTTACTAATTTTTATTAGCAATAATTCATGAATGATAAATAAATATGATTTTTAATTAATCATACTGTTGAAATTGATCAATCAAATTTAATTAATAATTATTCATCTCGTAATTTCTAACAGAGCATATCTTTGATAGATTACAAATTATTTCATAATTATGACAGAAATCGATTTTAATTATTTTAAATTTCACTTTCATGTTAAAATATTAAAATGAAAATATCTCGCTTGTCGTAGAAGCATGCCAGTGTGCCAAGTGCCATTATTAAGATAGAAAAATGTATTGGAAAAATATTTTGTATCAAATTTACAAAAAAAATTGAATGTTCTATAAATTTATTTTTATAAGATACTATGAAAACAAGCGATGTTGTTAATGATGATAGAAAACAAAATACTATAGAAATTGTTGAAATGATTTTCAATACAAGATTAAATCTTGCCAAAAGTAATGTAAATAATGATATAAAACTTCACAAAAGGAAACAACTATATCAAATAATTAATTTTTATTATTTTTACGCGGGAAAACTTTTGTAAATTCTATGCTTTCTATTTGTTCAATACAGATTTTTATGTTTATTAAAATGAATTGTTATAATTATTATTATTATTAATCAATTGATGTATCATCAAGCAATTGATTAATAATAAATGCTTATGACTATATTCATACATTGTTCATATCAATTCTACTAAGTATGTTACAAAAAATAATAAAGCATCTGAATTAAAAAATAATGTGAAAACCTATCAACGTGTACATAAATATATAAATTAATGTTAAAATTGATGAAAATATTGTAAAATAAAAATAAATTTATGTGAATTAAATTTCTTTTAAAATTGTTAATGTGATCTTGAACTTCATTTTTTTCTATTACCTTATTAAAAATATCATATCTATAAAAAACAATATCTAAATAAGATCCGTGTCCGAAAACTTTCGAAAATACGTATTTTGGATTCAGATAAAAAGATGTTCAATTCCTATTGATATTCTTCAAGTTGTCTAATAAATATCAAAAAAGATATCTTTGTCTGCGTAAAGCTTTGTTCAAATGATGTCTAAAAGGCAGCAAAAACATCCTCTAGATATTTTTTAGACCCCCCCTGGATGTCTTTTTTATACATAATTCAGATATCATTTAATTTATCTAAAAATTAATTAATCTCGATATCTTTTTGATGAATTTTTGAAAAACTAATTGTTAACTCCAATAAAGTATTATATATGCATAATAAAGTTTTTTTTTCTAATTGGGCTGTAATCAACAAATAATTTTTTGCAGAAATGTTAATCACCACTAATTCTCTGATATCTTTTTATAATTACATGAGTATTCAATGAATAAAGAAACATAGTAATTTATTCTCACAAAAGAGAGAATTATTTTACTCAATAAAAATCATAATATCAAAAATTCTAAAGAAAGTATGAAATTTAATTAATTTTTATATAATTGAAATATGTAGATGTCGCTGCTGGCTATTTCTTTCTTTATGACGTCATTGTCGTCGCCAATCAAATTCTTCTTTTATTCCCCTCTCAATCCTTTTTTAAGACGCATTTTACGTCATGATCACGTGATCTCTTAGTGAATCGTCACATGTACCGGCACTGGTTTGCCGCGCGTGGTTCGACATCGAAAACTTTTTGATCAAGTTTAATCGTGTTTAAATTTGTGTTTTTTTACGTTAAAATTAGATCCGTAATTAAACGAATTATTACCAATTTGTTATACAAGATTATCATTATCGAAAAATCATTTGAAGAGGTAATTATTATTTTATTATGAATTTCACCGGCTTAGCTATCTTTTGTCTAATTCTTAGGATTTAGTGAAGATTCTTATCAGTATATTATGTTATTGTTTTGACTTCAAACTACAAACCTAAGCATAATCGAATTCTTTCAAACGTAATATCGAATTATTAATATTTGTAATGAAATGATTGATGGAATTGAATTAAAATATGTCGTAAGAAAGCCATGTTTTTGAAGTACAGCTTCTTTGTTCGGAATATTGAAGACTTTATAGAAATATGCAAAATGGCGGCAAATTATCCTTTTTGTCTTTGATCCAAAATATTATTATTATTATTTTTATAAAGTCTTAAATCTTTAGAGATTCTAATAAAGTTTTTTCACCCAGTAATAGCAATGAATATTAAGAATCATATTAGGAAACTTGATAAATGTTACAGCATGTTGAAAGAAATATATATATATACATACAAAGAAAGTGTGTTGAACACTGTCGCATTTCCAAGAATTACACTCTTAGGTTCATGTATGAAGTGATTATCTTAGAGAGGTATGCAAGTTTTATAAACATTCAGAATCAACAAGAGAAGAAACAAAGAACATGACATCGAATTATGTAGCGTCACTAAAATAATTCTCATGAACTATTTTATATATTTATTTATAATAACAATTTATTATATTGTATAATTATGTTATGTATAGTACAATTTAATTACTACGAGTATTCTTCTTTTTTTTGATCAAAACTTGATAAATTTAGTTTTATATTTTTTCCTAAGAAATGGATTGAAATGGAATACTCATTTTTTCTGAAGTATTTTAGACATCATTGAGTTTATCTAAAAATTAATCTATACTGACATCTTTTTGATAAATTTTTGAAAAACTAATTGTTACTTTTAAAAAGGTATCATACAGAAAAAATAAAAATCTTTCCTAGTTAAGAATGTACGAGCGTTAATTTTTTCACGGTAGAATTTTTTGAAGTTTTGATATTCGCAATTCATTTTTTATAATAAAAAATTTTATGAAAATTTCAGCACAATTAATTTGAAATTAATTTTTTTACACAGGCTCTTATAGAGATTGCGTGATATTTTATTAAAACTGTATTACCACTTAATAGGTAAATGCAGATTTAGCAAGATATCACGTGATCTCTATAAGAGCCTGTGTAAAACAATACAAAAGTTATGAAAAACATTTATTTTGTTATTTATTTACAGCTTGAGTTAAAAAACAATAAAGATGGCCGATCCAGGAAGAGGACGTGGAAGAGGTGCTGCATTGTTGGCAATGCTACAAAAACAGCGCAGCGAAGCAGGAAGTCAAGATGGATCATCATCTAATGTTGCCGCAGCTTCTCCGCAATCAACAGCATCAGCAACGGATAATGACAACATACCACCAGCAGAACCAAAGCCACCAATGAGACCTTTGGGAAGAGCATCCCTGCTTAATATAGCTCAAAAATCATTGTCTTCTCCAGGCATTTCAACGTTAACTCCACCTCAAACTCCAACAGCAAGGGGTGTTGGTCGGGCATTAATTCAAAAATTATGTAGCCCTCCTGAACCAGTTCGTCCAGGACCTCCTCCTCCTCCTCCTCCTCAACAAATTGTAAGGCCAGGTCTTGGAGATCAAGGATTACCTGCACAAATGAGCGCCATAAGTTTGGGCGGAGGATCAACAACATCATCAGATAATCCAGTATCTCGTATGGGAACAACAGGAAAAATGTTAGAGCCAACTTCATTTAGCTTTTTTAATTTTTGAAAAATATTATTTCGAGTGAATTTGAAATCATTTTAGGATAATTACTATGATTTTTTCAGGATTGATATTATGTCAAATCATATCAATATTAAAGTGAGCTCAGGTAAAGGCATCTTCCGATATGAAGTAAAATTCAATCCACAGATAGACTCACCGAGTATTAGAAATGCATTACTCAATCAACATAAAAATTTGCTCGGCGGTACCAAGGTGTTTGATGGAATTATTTTATTTATTCCAATACGACTTCCCAAAGATGTAAGTTATCTATCAAATAAATAATTTAAAAAACATTAATGACATAAATATAATAAAGTTTTTTAAATCGTTATGTTCGTTAGGTAAATTTTTATTATTGAAAAAATAATAATCTATTAAAATATCTTCTTACAGAGAATTGAAGTAGAATCCCTTCTTAGAGACGGAACTACTGTTAAATTAACTATCATCTTCCAACGCCAACAAAAACCTTGTGACAGTGTAGGATTCTTTAATGTTCTGATGAATAGAGTATTAAAAATGATGAATTTAGTTCGAATTCACCGAAATTATTTCAATCCTCGAGCTGCTCATAAAATTGAGCAACATCATATGGAATTATGGCCTGGATATGTGACAGCTATCGAAGAAATGGAAGGAGGTTTGAAATTAAATATTGATGCTTCTCATCGAGTTATGAGAACAGATACGGTTCGTGATTATATTTATAATACGTATAAACAAACAAAAGATCGAGGTAATTTTAAAGAAACTGTCATGAAAGAATTAATGGGTTTAAGTGTACTTACACGTTATAATAACAAGAATTATCGAATCGATGATATTATTTGGGATAAGGGTCCTTGGGTAACTTTTAACTGTAAAGGACAAGAAATAACAATTGCTGAGTATTTTAATACTCATTGGAAATTAGAAATAAAAGATATGAAACAACCATTAATTCTCAATCGTCAGACAGTAAAATTGTCTCGTGGTGAGACAAAAGAAGAAGAAATTTATCTTGTTCCGGAATTATGTTATTTAACTGGATTAACTGATAAAGTTAGAAGTGACTTTAGAATCATGAAAGATCTTGCAGCTGTAACACAAGTGAATCCAGATTCACGTAGACAGGTGATAAGAAAATTTATCCACAGTGTAAAATCTACACCAGAAGCTGCGAAACTACTTGAAGAATGGGGATTGGAAATGGAAGATGATATAGTTACTCTACCAGGAAGAGTACTTCCACCTGAAAAAGTTTTCTTTGGAAATAGAAGAGAAGTTTCTGCTGGTGACAAAGCTGATTGGGGTTCAGCAGCTGTTAGAAATCAAGTATTACGTAATGCTAATATGCATAATTGGTGCATTGCTTACATTCAAAAAGATGAAAGAGTAGTAAATGAATTTTGCAAAATACTAAGAACAGTTTGCAAAGATATCGGTGTTGGAATTGGTGAAGGGATTAAAATTTCATTGAAAAATGACAGTGCCCAATGTTATGTCACTGAAATAAGGAAGAGAATTAATCCTGATTTAGATATAGTAGTTGCCATCTGTCCATCAAATCGAAATGATCGATATTCTGCCATAAAAAAACTTTGCTGTGTTGAGAGTCCAATAAAATCTCAAGTAATACAAACTAAAACTATATCTAAAGATAATAAACTTAAATCAGTGACGGAAAAAATTGCTTTGCAAATGAATTGCAAACTTGGAGGTGCTCTATGGGCATTAAACATACCTGTTGATCATATCATGATAGTTGGAATGGATGTGTATCATTCAGGACCCGGTGGAACTACACGTTCAAGTGTTGCTGGTTTTGTTGCAAGTTTAGATAAAAGTTTTACTACATGGTATAGTAGACCATACTTCCAGAGACCTGGTCAAGAGTACATTGATGTACTGAAAATTTGCTTTGCTTCTGCACTTACTGCATATCGCAACAAAAGAGGCGTTTATCCTGAAAGAATCGTTGTCTATCGTGATGGAGTTGGTGATGGACAATTAGAAACAATTGCATCTTATGAAATTGAACAATTGAAAGCTGCTTTTGGGTTAATTGAACCTAATTACTCGCCTAAATTAACAGTCATTATTGTTCAAAAACGTATTAACACCCGATTAATGGCAACAGTGAAGGTATATTGATTTTTCCCTTTATATAATTATTTTAATAAATATATGTTTTGAAGTTATTTCAATTTTTTTCTCTTTACAGAATCAAAAAAATAGGCTGGAAAATCCACCACCGGGTACTATCGTGGATTCTTGTGTTACCCGTCGTAATTGGTATGACTTTTTCTTAGTACCACAGGTATCGCGACAAGGTACTGTGAGTCCTACTCATTATATTGTCTTAGTTGATGATGCTGAATTTGACACGGATCAATTGCAAAGACTGACATTTAAAATGTGTCACTTATACTACAATTGGCCTGGTACAATTAGGGTACCAGCACCGTGTCAATATGCACATAAATTAGCTTATTTAGTTGGCCAAAATATTGGCACCGAACCTCATGAAATTTTATCAGATTCATTATATTATTTATAAAATAAATAAGTGTAACTAGTTTTCCGTGACATTTTTTTTATTATTAGTAGTTTTTGAACGAACTCAAGACTTGAAGTCATTTCGAATGAAAAAAGTTTTTTTTTATTCTCATTAATTAGACAGTTAAAATTCCAACATTTCCCTTTGATATAACCGTTTATAATACTTATATAACTTTTTACTGTAAGAAATATAATAGTGATAATAAAAATTTAATTATTTTGTTTCTATCTCTTTCTGTTTATAAACAAATTATTTACATAATTACCTTCAATTTCAATTGTTAATAAAATAGATTTTAATGATTAATGTTATCGACTGACTGTTTAATTAGTTGACATATTTTTTCACAAAATATCATGTCGCTGTAATCGCATTTGATATTGTGGCGCTTGCGCAAAGCTTGTTTACAACTGCGAAGCTTACGATACACACACATGACCTTTTCAAGATGGACACGAATGCCTGTTTTATAAACCCGCGTGCGACGTAAAATAATTGCATATCAATCTTGTGAGTACATGTTAACAATCGTACGATTTGTCTCTGATCGTATATTAATTTAATATAACATTATTGAATTGTTTTACATATTGTAAAAGTGTGACGACGTTAAATTATCTAACGTAAAGTGTGACGCTTGTTTCTGTCGTGTCTGAGCGTGGCGGTGGCAATAAAAAAAAGAGACGGAATAAGTGAGAGAGTTAAAGTTAAGTCAAAATAAGACAGACAAAGTCAGAGAGATCAGATTAAGTGAAGTAGAAAAAGCCAAGTGAACCTTCCAGAGGGGGGTAGGGAGCACAACGTAAACGTGTCGATATCATTTACCCAAGTAATTATTTTTCTTACAACTATTACACACCTGACCATTATTTACAATTGTAATAATAATAAAAAACCGGTCAAGTGCGAGTCAGATTTAGTATGATAAGGGTTTCGCACTCTCATATTTTTTACTTTTAAGATATACATATATATGTATACATGTACATGTACATATTCATGTTTTTATATCTACAATGTTCTTATTATTTAATCTACACATTGATGTAGTTTTCATGCAAATTTTACGTATATTTGGAATTTGTCTTTTTTTTCTTTTAAAAGAAAATACACATTTCATATTAACATTCAATTTATTTTTAATAGAATTTATCTTATTTTTGGTTAATCTTGTTATTGTTGACAATGTTTTGTTCCAAAGCAATTTCACACGCAAGTTGATATAAATGTTTTATAAGTTTTCATTATGTTACCTTCTTCAGTCTATTCTTATATTAGAATTCCTGTAAATGTGTACTTGTAATTATTATGTCAAATTTTTTACTTTCAAGAACAATTTCTACATTTAATTTTTTCCTAAATCATAGACAAACTGCTTGAAAGTCATTAAATTATGACAGCTTGACAAGCAGATACTAACATTCTTCCCTAACAAACTCATGAATAAAATATGTTTATTATTTACATGAAACATCGAGGCATACTAATACCCTCAAATAGTTTTTATTTTCTAATTTATTAATATAATCGATTAATTTTGATCTCTAAAGATATTTTTAAAATTCTTTTCTAAAAGAAATGCTGAAAAAACAACCACCCACAACGTCATTACTCAAGGGAAAACATTGGTTAATGATTTCTTACTTTTGGATAGAAATAGTCATGTCATTCTTTCGAAGGATAAGATATTTTTGGGATATATCAATTTTTAACATGATGAACGATAAAAAATGTTTAAATCAGGTATAAAATTTTTTTGAGGGATGAAGGAACGATTTTTATTTATTTTCTTTCTCTTTCTTTTCTTTTCTTTTTCTCTTTTACACTTGTATGCTTGGGCATAATAGTCTAACCAATAAACGCGTTTATTTTCCCTTGGAACCAAGGGGATGCGCCCTATTGCTATTGTCGTTGGAATGGAAATGAAATTCCAAGGTGCGTGTGAGGGTTGCGCGGTTAAAGAATAGTACACAATATATAGAATTAGTTAGAGAAAACCCAAAAAGGCGTTCCCTAACCTCGGAATGTGACCAAGTTGAATAGAAAACAGACAGAGTGATAAAATAATTGATTACAAATATCAGAAAAGTTGATAAAAGCATATAGTTTTTACAAAATATGTCTAATTTTCATTTAAATTTCATAACAGAGTTATGTCTAATCAACTTCTATGGTTATAGACATTTATTTACTTTTTGAAGGTACAGACACGTGTCAACATATCTTGACTGATTTAGTAATAAACCTGGTTTCATGAAAAAGATATTTTATAATATTTTTAAAAATTATTTTTTCAGAACTGAAAAATTTGAGGAGTGTGGAATCATGTTGTTTACATTTGTCAGTGGACATAAGTAAACTGCTGTAGTGATAACAAGTAAGTATTTATTATTTTTTTATTAGGTTTTAATGACCTTTTCCTATATCAAGCTTCATTTAGAAGTATTCTAAAAGGAAAATGAAGCATATAAACTTTTGTGATAGAATTTTACAATAAACATTAATTATCAAAATGAATTTTATTAATATACTGTTATCAATTTTTAGTTGACAAAAAGAAATGCGGTTACCTAGATGATGTGTGATATGATAAAATGTGAGAATTGTTAATTAAAATTGCAAAACTGTGGATCATAAACGCAATCACGGGTTTCTTCACCACCACGGCGATGTCTTCAAGCAAGGGCCAGATTACACCTTCGAGTGGGCCCATAGTGCGTTGCGGACATCTCCGAAAATGTGGATCATTAATTTCTGGCTTAAAGCCTCTGAAGAAAAAGTATTTTGTCCTGCGTGGCGAAACACCAGGACATCCTGCTTGTCTCGAGTATTACGACAATAAGAAAAAGTTTGATAATAAACAACCACCTAAAAGGAGTATAACTATGCGAAGTTGCTATAACATTAATAGAAAAAATGACTCCAAACATAAACATGTTATTGCTTTGTATACTAAAGATGACTGTTTTTCACTGATACTTGATAATGATAAAGAAGTTGAAGAGTGGCTCACGGCGATGCTTCTTCTGTCTGGTGATGTTCCTGATGGTGAACAGCCTCGACCTACATTTGGTAATCATAATTATAGTTAAAATTTTTTTAATTGATAATTTTTAGTACATTATTAATTCATTATTTAAAAGTATATTGAACTTAAAATATGATCCTAAAGAATTTTTACTAAACTTATTAAATAAGATGATCTTTGAAAGTGAAAAAAAAAACGTTCTTTTTCCTAAATTCATTTATTAAATGATCAGTAATTAACGAGATGTAAAAACTTTCATCATAAATTTCATCATAAATTTTTCTTCAAATTCAACACGATTTTTGTGAGTTCATATGATAGTAAATGAAACTGAAAATCATTTAGCTTACATACAAGTATTATCTATAAATATTTGGATAAAAGGTGGATTTGAAAAAAAATACGTCAATAACCGTCATAATATTCTTGTTAAATATAGTTGATTTTATACTGACGTCTGAAGCAATTAAAAAACAGATAACGACAAAATAGATTTCGAGGGCTTATCTAATGTTCATAAATATAAAGGTATTCTCTTTTTATTATAAAGAAAATATGTAAAAAAAAAAAACTATTAACGGTTATTTTTTTAAAAATTAAATTAGATGTAATTTTATTTTTATTTCTAACTTATTTATCTCAAAGGAGCAAATAGATATAACGACAGCTGAAATAACTCATAACGTAATATGGTGTTTGTTTCTTAAAATGTTTTATTATTATAAAAAAAAAATTTTATAATGGTATCAACTATTATAACAGTTAGGAGTAGTTGCTCTTATCATTTTTAGACCACGACATTTTCGATGCAACTATATCGAGTAAAATAGATTCAAAAACAATATCGAATAATGAATGTAAATAATGAATTATACAGAAGCTTGATGAATATGTTACAAAACTTCATTTTGATTAAATTATAATATTAGTATTAATTTTTATATTTTGATAAACGTGATTATAGAACAAGAATTTGAATAATAACGAGAATTTTTCTAGATATATTACGATGAAATCTTTTCTAAAATACGGAATAGAAAGTAAAATTTTTTATCTATTTAACTTGATAAACCTTAAATGATCAATAATCTTATTGAGAATTAAAAAGTATTTTTTGAATGGCAATACGGCTAAAATGTACCCATAAACAAATATTGAGAACCGAGTCATAATATTTTAAAATAGATTTATTGGTTGTTTAATTTTTTTTTTTTCAACTTTTCAGAACATGTCTGGCAAGTAACGTTGCAGAAAAAAGGTCTAGGAGAAAGGAAAAATCTCTATGGACCTTACAGATTATGTTTAACTGATCGAGTGCTCAGTTTAATAAAAGTGGGAGCTGAAGACAACTCTGACTGCCTTGAATTTCCGGTTTGTTATTTTTATTTTTTATTCTAAAAATATAAATATACAAATAAACTGACGATAAAAATAAACTTGCACTAAATAAAAATATTTCGACTAGTTTTATTTACTGAAATCATTTTTATGAATACTTCAGATTCTAATTCATTTTTAGTTAACAACAATAAGAAGATGCGGATGCATGGATCGTATTTTTTACATGGAGGTAGGAAGGTCCGCAGTCACTGGAGAAGGTGATTACTGGATGAAAGCAGAAGACTCTAACATTACTCAGAATATGCACACGGCAATTTTAAATGCCATGAGCAGTTCAAGTAGTAACAAAGACAAGGACGACATGGTGCCAAAGCAACGAATGAGGAGTTCATCTGCAAATGAAGCGAGCAAACCGATATCTGTACTTGGTGGACGTCGATATACAGGTCATAAATTACACGGTTTTTCACCTTTAGGTGAGTACGGTTGGAAATTTTCCACAAAATTCTCATGTATTTGTATTATTTTACTTGATTGTGGCTCATAAGAATGACTCACACTTGAATAATCGGCATTCCTCGTAGTGTTTGTCGAGTTTTTCTTTCAAAACAATGATGATTCAGCTAATGAATCTTGAGATAACTTCAAGAGAATGTACTCTTTGATTTTTCCAATCAGTATGATCCAGAATTGAAAATAATCGATTTGATTAATTAATTCTGCAAAGTATTTTGGTTTATGATTGTAAAATATTTACTGTTTCTTTTTTGAATGAATTTTTTCAAATTAATTTGGTAAACAACTCAATAAGTAATATATTTTCCATTATAAACTTAAATACTTTAAAAAAAAAGTTTTCATCAACTTTTCATTTATAAAATACAATTTTTTAAAACATTTTTTAATGAATTTTTAAAGATTATTTTTTCATAATATTCATTAAAATTTCATAAAAAATCATTATAATATAATTATGAAAATGATTATATTATCAGTTAACAGAGTAAAAGAATTGATTTTTGAAATTATTTTGTGATCAGAGCCATGATTTTTATGCAAAGTATTAAATGAAGTAGATTAATGCGTTAAGGAACAATAGTTTGGAAGGAATGGGTAAAATAGGAAAGATAGAGGGTAGGAAAGTATAGTTTTAGGAATAACAGATGTGAGTACATGGGCTTTACAGAGGAGCAAACAGACCATGAGGATCAGAGCAATCGAGAGCAGAACATCACGGACTCTGCCCCTACTCAGAGTTGTAGTCAATCACAGAGTTCATCCTCGACCAATATAATTATGGGTCTGTTCTCTGACATAGTAGTTTATTTTTTTTTTGTTTTTTTTTAAGTAATTAAAACTTTTTTTTTTGTTTTTTAAAAAAATCTTCTCCAAGAAAATGATTATTTGTTGATTATGATCATTTATTGATAATTTATTCATAAAAACAATTTTTTTATCATTGATAAACGAATTGTATTAAAAAACATTTTTTTTTATCATTTCGCTGATTTTGTTACAATTACAATAACTATACATTATCAATGGGATGTTTTGCGCTCTTTGCTTATAAATACAATAATGTTAAGTTTTATCATTCTTTGGTGGCATGATTAAAATCTTCGGAAGTGGTCAATTATGTATATAATAAATTATTGATACAACTATTAATACAAAGTATCTAGTATTAGCACACAGTTGTTTAATAATTTCAATAACATTAACGTAATATTGTTGAATAATTGTATACACGGTTAATAATATTGATGGGTAATTGTTCATATAAATAGGAATTAAGCTTTATTATTATTAATAATAACAATAATACCTTAAAAGTTCTGACTTAATAATAAGATAATAACAAGTTTTACATTAAAACAAAAAAAATCATTACAAAGTAGTATTGACATTGATGAGGTTTAAAAAAAAACTTGTGAAATCATGAAAGAAATGTAAAATAAAATGAGCTTTTAAGGAATTCATTGAACTAATGCGGTGACAGCTAGTTAAAGAAAATATTAAGAATATAATAGTATATACTTCGGGGTTAAAGTGTGAGATTTCGTGGGCGACCTAAAAAATTGGGCGATAAAAATGGGTTTGCAGCTGTTGCGGGGACTAGGAGCCTTGGGACGTATGCCATGAGCAACACAACTGCGAAAAGACGTCGGCATTCGGTTGCGACTCAACCAATATCTACTTGTACTACTACTATTACTACTACCACTACTATTACTACTACTACCACCACTAGTACTACTACTACTTCTACCACCAATAAATCCCAATCCATAACTGTCACTACCGCGACGACATCGACAAGCAACGTAACAAATGCAACCAACGCAACATCAACAACAACCATCAACAACACCATCACCACAACAACCACGACAAAATCCCATCAGAGAACCCTGTCGCTGCCCCTTGCCGCAGTTGTTATCAATCAATCGCAATCATCCAAAAGACCCATTTTACGCTGTATGTATTTTCGTTTAGCCTTAAAACTTTTCATGCCTCTTCCTTACTTCCTCTAATCATCTAACTGTTCCGATGAATGTCTGTTGAAGCTGTATTCATCATCATAATCTATCCACGTTCATTAATTTCATAGAAATTTTTCAACTACTAATAGAGCTTTTAACAGCTAAGCTCATATATATTATTACAATAATATGAAACCTATTTATGTTTTATTGAATATTGACAAGGAAATTAAAATAATAAGTACTTGAACATCGGGAATAATATTAAAACTAACATAATAACGTTAATTATTAAATTCAGATAATGTAAAGAGTTTTGGATGCTAATATTCAATATAATAATTGTTTGAATATTTCTTCTGCAGACATTTATTGGAGTAATTAAAAAAGTAACCTCTTACAAAAATATATATGTATTCATAGATGTATACTTTCCGATACATGTTGTAGTTGTTGAATCTTATAACTAACCAAGAGGATTAATTAAATGTTTCTTGAATGAAAATCGTTAACTGCATGAAAAAAAATTATACAATAATAAATGATAACAATTGATGCACTAGAACCTTTACTTATAATTCTTGGTTATTCAACAACAAAATGACAAAAATATTAGCGCTTTTAATTTATTTTATTAGTTACTAAGTTATAAAATTTATGCATTTGTTAATTAATTGGCTAAAATTTACTTTAACATCTAAGAGCACGTTATAGTTTTAATCTTCAATACTTGCTTTTTTCACCTGACGCTTGAGTTTCTTTTTTACAAAATTATCATTTTTTGATTTTTATCATTTTTTAAATTATACGTGCAAAATGATTAATTGTATGAGTTATTCAAATAATAGACGTCCATTTTATTTAAATAAATTTCATCAATATTGTTCGCACTCATGTTTTAACAAATAATTACTTTCAACTGATCTACTGGATCCCTATTTTACAAATTGTATGCGAATGAATGGGAAAACTAATAGGATTGGCTATATATTGAATTATGATTGATAATGTGCTATTTTATTGTTGAAAAAAAATTTTTTCTTTTCAATTGAAAAAATTTTTTTAATATTGATTTACTAATAAACTTTTACAGTTTATACTTTTATAATTGTTGATAAATAATGATCTACAAAACACATGTTTTTTTTTAAAATAAATGTTGAACAATAATGAATTTATTTTTCATTTATTTGAAATTAATTATAATATTAAAAACAAAATATAATTAATTTCATTATTATTTGAACAAAAAAAATATTTTCAATTATTTTAATTAAAAATAACATGCATTGCTGGGATGGATTGGCTTTCGCGTCTTATTCTTTACTTTAATTTGGTTATTATTTTCATTTTTATCCAAATTAAATGTTAAAATTTTTTTATAAGTAAAATAAGTTTTCATAAAAACAATGAATATGCAAAGCTATAAATGCATGAGCTAATGAATCCTTAATAATTGAATTAACATTTTACAGGTCCTGCAGGTCGAGACAGATGTGATAGTCTTCCCTCACGAGCTCGAACAACGAGCGAGGGTCTTCCAGCTCCAATAATGCTGGCGCATCCTCGAACGAGTCATTTAACGCCTCATGCCACTCGACCACATTCTATGTACAGCCGTGGCCTCTCTTATTCTCCTCCAGTATCATCCATGCCAATCAGCCCAGCTTCAGGTGCTTGTTCAACTGACTCAGCTGGTTCTTCACTTTCTATGGATGACGGAACTGATAGTATGTTGGAGGAGAGTACTACGACTCGATATGGGCACTCATTAACACCTGATGAGCCGGTTATACTTGAAGAGAATATGGACGATTATGTTCCTTGGTCTAGTAATCATTTACCACAAAAATACTCACCAAACTTCAAGTCGCATTCGTCCTCTCAGGTAATAAAATTTTTATTATGGAATAATTGAAAATGTACTCAATTAAAAAAATAAACATAAAATATATTATTTAAATCTTTTAGCAAAGTTCCTACGTAGAAATGTATAGTCCTTGTGGTTCAAGTCCTGGTAGAGGAGGAGTTTATTTACCGATGAGTCCAGCAACAACAGTTCATAGTCATTCACGAGCTTCATCGTTAGTAGAAGAAGCAACGTTACCCGACGGATATGTTCCGATGGCTCCAGTAGGAGATGAGTACGTTGACATGGATCCAACGAATGGTCAAAATGGTCATTACCACGATGAATTATCTCAGCATGGAAGCAGTTGTTCTGTAACATCTGGAACACCAAGCACGGATTTGAGATTCATCGAATATCCTCTCGATAAGGTGTCCAGTTATCTTACACCTTCTGAAGATGATCCATCAAGACCTACTCGTGCTTACTCAGTTGGCTCGAGGCCAGAACAGATGAATCGGCATCGAAAAAATCGATTAGATTTTGTCGCACAAGAAGCCACTCGTGTAAGAGCTTTTTCTGTTGGAAGCCGATCAAAAAGATCTGAATTAGGTCGATTGGTAAATGTTGTAACTGCCAAACTTCCCTCTGGAGGAGATAATGTAAATTCTCATAAATCGAATTCAGCTCCTTTACTTTCGAGTTCTTGGGGACATAATTCTGGATGTTCAATGGCGTCTGACAGAATGGAAGATTTGATGGAATTAGATTTCAGTAGATCTAATGTTCCTACAACATTATCATCTACTCCTTCTTCATATACTCAGTCACATTCGCATTCACATTCGTATTCTGCGGATACGAGTTCGTATATGGATATGTCTCCTGGACAACCACATACATCTAGTACTGCTCCGTACGTTGATATGAGTGGTAATAAGGTAAGATTATTATTTCATTTATTTATTAAATAAGCATTATTTTGAACATTTTAAATAACTAAATTTTATTTATAATTATAGATGAGTCGTAATAATAATATTAATAATAATAATAACAATAATACAACTGCCAACCACAACCATAATTCCATTCACGCAACGTCACTCATTCATAAACCGGTCATGAAACCTCTGAAGCCTGTAGTAGAAACTGAAGGTCTCTACTTAAAAATGGAAAATTCATTGGATAATTGGCCGAGATCTGGAACTAGTCCTAAACAACAAGCATCATCTCCTTTACAGGAAGATTACATGGAAATGAATGGTCCACCAGGTAATTTTTATATCATAAATCAATAATTAGTTATTTGTGCTAGACCATAATGACATTATTTTTTTTATTATAGGAGTAATGAGAACTGCTCCAGTAGATCTTCCTCAGCCGCGTAAACCTCCAGAAGGATATGTAGAGATGAATTTCAAGCCACGACCTAGTCTAGAACAAAACTATATCAATATGACGATGGGTGTAGAGAACAGGAATCGAAGAAAACCAAGACAGAGCAGCAGAAAAGATAAGTCCCAAAGATCACAACCAATAGCTATACAAGCATCGAATAAACTAACGAAAACACCAAGTTTTTTGCCTCTAAATGGTGGCTCAACGTCTGATAGTTTAGCATCAACCCCAGCAACGCCTTCGCGAGCAACACCAACGGGTTCAACAATATTCCCCTTTTCTCTCAATAGTCCTCAATCTCCGATTAAACCTTTTACCCCTCAAGAAGATATAAGTAAAACTTCAACACCGACCTTCTCCGATTGTTCACCGGAAGAAGGTGATTATGCTGCCATGACACCTGGAATTAGTTCTCCAATGGTTGTAGCTTCAGCATCTGAATTCAATTCCAAAGAAGACAAAGATTGTCCGCCAAGCCCTACGCTAACTTCGATAAAGTCTACTAGCAAGTTACAAGACTCTCCTCTAAGTCCTTTGTCTAAAAGACTTACTGAATTAACAGTAAGCAAGAAAAAGTCGCGAAATAATACAAATCCAGTAACGACTGCTAATTCTTTAAAAGATTCTTTATCAGAGGGATCTAAACCTACTACTACTTCTGCTATTGCTACTTCTACTTCTACTACTACTCCTATAACTACTACTACTACACTAGAAAATACAAAGAGTCTTAAAAGAGAACGGGAATGTGAGAAGCCTCCTAGTCCCATAGGAAAAGAAAAAGGATCTCAACAGGAAATGCCTCAAAGCCCGGTGGCTAAAAAATTATCAGAATTATCAGTTTCTAAAACAAAATTAATTAATTCTTCACCAAATACAAGTCCAACTCCAACATCTGGATTGAAAATACCACCGAAAACAAATTCCCCGAAAATTCCTGATGACATAACACCGACACCTTCTGCTACACCCACACCTACACCTAGTCCTTTAGATTCTGAAGGATATGAAAAATTACAACCTGGTGCAAAGCTTCTTCATTATGCCAGTCTTGATCTACCTGAATCATCAAGCGTACCGCCTGTTTCACCCACACCAGCACAAGATGGCTTTAGATACGCTGAAATTGATTTCGCAAAGCTCAAGCAAAATTAATAAAAACAAAATTAACTTTGAGATACTTCCAAATAATTTAAATTATTTTACAATAAAATAATGACGAAAAAGGCTGCAAAAAAGAATAATTGAAAAATTGTTGTAAATAATTTCAAGAGAAGATGGTTTTTGTTTCACATAAAACAAAATAATTATATATTTGTGTTACGAAAATATTATCAGAATATTTTTTTAGGATTTTTTTTGTTCTTAAAACTTTTTTCATAAATTTCTTTCGTTTTTTTTTTTCTTTTAGAAATCATGTAAACACAAATTAATTGTGAATTTTTCTCTTTTGTTTTTAATTTGTGAATTATATAATTAACATAAAAAATTATATGAAAAAAAACTAAAAATACTTTTAAAAATCAATTGCGTAGAAAGTTCGATGAAGAACTTTTTTATGATAGACGCAATCAAATTATGTAGGTAAATTAAATGAAAAAAACGAAAAAAAAAAAAAATCGTTACACTGTGCTTGTTTCATAATACAAAAATTTATAATATGACGACTGAGAGTCATTATTTCAAATGTAAAGTGAAATAATAAGGAAATTCATAAATATATATATAAATATATATATTATGTCGTTTATCGCGATATATTAGTTAAACTTATACATGATATACTATTTAATACAATTTAAGAAAAAGGTGAATAAAATATAAGAAGCCTCCCCCATACTAACTCTAAGTCGTCATATAAATATTATAAATATACATATTATAAATATATACATATTTAATATAAGGACTATGATAATTACATTAACATTAATAAAATATAAATTAAACATATAATTGTTGATGTTAAAAAATTCATTTTGCCTGTTCTTACATTGTTATTATCGTATAGAGTAATTTTGAAGTCTAAAATAGTGTAATTTAATTATTTTTAAATTTTACCGCCAGAATGATGAGCAATTACCGACTGTTAATTTTAGAGAAATTATTGACTGTCGGTAATATGTAGAGAATTCGCAGAAAATTTTTTTATAGTTACGCTGTCTCCACATTTCTTTAGACAACTGTTTATACAAAGCGGACCATTTGTTGTACGTTGTTTTGCTTGATTTTGACAAAGATTCTTATAAATTTATCGAATTTTATTCAACTCAACATATATACAAAGTATGTTAGAAGTAAAAATGATTCAACAAACCAAGGTAAGACATGTTTTAACATATTTTTATGCAAAAGCATAAATTTACTTCAAGGTACGCTAAAGAGTATATACAAACAAAACAGATGAATAAATAAAACAAATGTAAAAATGAATTTACAAAAAAGATACCCATAGAAAATGATTTCATTTAATGATCAAACAGGAAACTCCAAATCATATGACAAAAAAATAAATAAATGCTGTTGCCATATTGTCCACTGCGGGGTGCCTTTGGGGAGGTTGGGATGTTTACAGAAACTGTTACGAGTATCGTTTAAACGTGTATTGCTATGTTTTTTTTCATTCTGTGAACTCCATTTGAAGCAAAATTGAACAAAAATTAAGCGTGAAGTAAAGGTGCTTAGTTGCAGGTAAACACGCCCTAAATCATTCGTAGATACTCACGCGACCCCAAGGCTTCAAGTCTCTGACCTCGATGGTGAGGAGAAGTAGTTTCAGGACTAGTTTACACTCGTCTTCGGTAAAACTGTGTCCCGCAGTGTTCATTCAAAGTTAATTTACTCACTTAGACCGACAGATCCACTGCAAAACTGTAGCAACCATTTGTTCGACATGAAAAACAGGTATATTTAGGTTTATATTTTTGACTTAAAATATGAAAAATCACGCTAAATGTTTCGAGAAAATTTTTACATTTGTGTTTTTCTCAACTGCTCCTATATAAAACGGTATTAAACAATGTAACTTTTGAACTTCAAGTCATAAAATCGTTTTACTAAAACTAAACGTGTCTTCTTAAAAGCAGGGCAAAATTTAGAGCGCCCTCACAATTTGTACCTTGCAAATGACTAGAATTTGGTTCAATTTTTATGAAATTATTGCATCCTAAAGCCCAGAGTATTGCTTTTGGTATATAACTTTTTATGGGCGTTCTTTTGTAAAATACCGTTTAGTTTTTAAATTGAATAATACTACAAGATTTTTATCGGTCCAATTTGCATGGGACTTGGATGAATTATTAGCACATAATAAGACTTCAGAAGTGATTCTTTGATGTTATTTATTGAACTTTCCTTGGTCACTTAGGTTACTTGACTTTTTTACCAGTAGTAAAGATGACTTTTGTTGTTTTGTTTTAAACAATGATTTATTCTGGGCAATACTCTCATCTACATACTGAAGAGAAATAAAGTTTCTGGTATTGACTTTTATCATAAATGTTTTAATCAATCTTAAACATAAACTTCAATTCATTCAGTACATTTTATTACATTATATAACTGGAATAACAAAACAACATAAAAGAAGACATCAAAAGAGGAAACTTTTAATAATAGGGCTGATTAAGAAGCGAACTTTTACGATGTTTACTGAACATGTCTAACGAAAGGCAGATGATACAACATTTTATTACAACCCTCAAGCAATTTATTAGATTCAATTAATTACTTTATTTGTTCTGTTATTCAGCTTTTCTTAGCTTTATAAACAAAATAATGACAAAATTCATACTATCATCACATAAAATTTGCTTCAATGTTATTTGGCTTGATGAAAGAATTTGTAACAATCATTATCATCATTATTATTTTGCAGAAAAAAGCTCAACTTCGTTCAAAAATGAGTCTTTTCATGGATAATCCAAAAAATTAGTAAACAACTACAGACAGGAAAGGAAAAAAAAACATTTGTCCTATCCCTGTGTGTAGGTATAGTCTGAGAGTAGTCCTCTGATCTTCCTGGTTCCATCATGAGTGAACCCAACGCCGCGGGATAGTAGATAAAAGCCAATTGAATTTAAATCATGAATACGAACGAAGTGAGGTAACGTGAAAGAGAAAGAGAGGAGGAGCAAGGGAAGTAGATACAGAACAGCCTTTTGCTCTTGCTGCGCATCATCCTGACGGCAATCTGGTGGCAGCTTTGTGCTGGGTAATGGCTTCAACCCCTATAACCCCTGCTAACCTGCCATCCTCTTGACTCTATATAACCCCTCAGGCAACTACCCCTCTTTTGCATGGCGCAGCCATCGTACTGTCATCCTTCCAACATCTTCCGCAATTTATAAATAATTGTTTAACTTCATTATCCTAGATTTTCAAGTATAAGATTCTTCTTTAGACTTTATTCTTTTTTTTTAGACAAATTGCCAGAGTATAAAGTTGAAATTTTTAGTATAAAAAAATGATATATATTTTTTATTAATAAGTAAAAAAAAGGTATTAGTTGATGAAGATATTTACTTATAAGTAAATATACTTATAAGTAAATATCTTCCAAATTTGAATATATATGTATTCAAATTTGGACTTGAAGCCATTTTTTAAAGTATTTTTCATTTTTGTAGAATTTTCTTGAACACTGAGGACCTTCAACTCGTCATTACTACTTAGTAAATTTAGTCAAAAACCTTGAAGTCGCGTGGTATTCTCGTTTTTGGTTATTTTCAATGACAAATGTTACACTATTTACAAGAACTTTACCTTGCCTCACTCCCACCTTGGAGCTTCTTTTTCTTCTACTGTTCAGAGTCAGTAAGTTAAGCTCTACTATACTTGTGAACAGTTATAGGTCCTACTGAGATGTTTTAGAGCCTTGAAATTCTAATCAAGGGTCGCGTGGCACTGACGGATTGGTTTAGTACTGCTATATACTTTGACTACCCTTCAGCAGATTCGTGCTGATATGGAAGTTTTCGTTACATTAGAGTTGAGTAGCTGAAGAAAACAACTTTCCTTGGATCGTAAATCATTTTTTTTGTAGACATTAGCACTTCAATCAGGTAACACTTTGTGGCACAATATAACCTTTCGAACATACCAATAATTACTAAAAAATTTTCAGAGAACTTTGCTTGTCAGTTATTCAACAAAACATGACTTCTTTGATCAACTTCAATGTAAAACGTCAATTTCTTTGGGCATTGTTTAGTCTTAGAATTGTTGCATTTGAAATAAATGTGTTTCTTGTTAACATTTAACAGCAAAATGCAACATTAAAATAGCTTCGGGTCCAGTCTTCTCATGAGTAAAACGAAGAATAAGAAGACGAAATACCAAAATGTCCTTGAAGCCACGCGCCTCAAGCATTTCCGATGTTTTATGATGGCTGTCGTGGTCCGCAATGTCTGTTTCTTTCTTTTTACTTCCATTTACTCTGTTAGTTTCTTTACATTCGTCCTTCTTGTTTATCTCATTTCTTGCCAAACTTCTTCTCCTTCTCGTGGTTCGGTGATCTTCGTTCATCTTCTTGCATCTTGACACTGCTCGAGGCCGGTCCTATCCATCAGTAGAACGCCATACCAATCTCATCAGAGGCGTAAGACCCGAGCAACTTTCATATTTACAGCTTCATTGTTACGTTTATGAGGGTACAATTCCTGTTTGCGAGATTACTTATTTTCATTAAAACAACTGTCAGCGTGTGTCCCACGGCCTCACGATGTTTCAAGGCTACATCTTACATCTTACTGTATTGCTTACTGTTGCTTTTAGCTCTACTTCCATCATCTCACCTTGTGAGGTCCGGGTAAGCGTGCCAGAACAATTAAACCCCGCTGTTGGATACATTATGTTATTTAATGCATCCTATCATGCATCCTTTGGAGTCAAAAAAATCCTTGCCCATTATTCATTACTTTTTTTTTGTTATGCAAAAATACTTAAGTGATGATTATTGTTTTATTATACCAATGAAGTAGCTTCAAATATTTTTCATTAATCTGTTTTTCTTATTTTATTGTAAGCATTGGTGTTTATTGTTGGTAGAATTTCTTCACTATTCATATTATTTTTTATTTTTAAAAATATTTACATGCATATATAATCATCAACTCGTATATTTATCTCTACACGTTACGTGACCTGCGGGTTAAGTATATTATATATACGTACAAGTAAAATACGATTTGTGGTCCGGTTTCTGTTCAGTGCATATCGAGTGACATGCAGCAGAGTACAGAAAAATAGTCGGGAATCCATAAAACATATTCCACCTACATACACAAATCCTCAAGCATTTGAATTTCATCTATAATATTTTTAAGCAAAACATATTTATCATAAGAATATTATGCTTGAAAAAAACTATGCAATTATTAAAATTTTCTTTTAATAAATTTTTTACTGAAATAATATAATACATTTTATTATCATTTGAAAATGAAAAAAAATATACAAAGATTTTTATTAAAATTAATTAATTACTAATTGAGCTTGATTTTAACATTTTTAATTACAATAATATATTTCGCGAATTTATTATTGATTATTAATTTTATTAATTAGTTTGGTTCTTTATTTTTGTAAACAACGTAGATTATATATTATTTCTTCCAACCATTTATTAAAAAATATTATAAAGTTTTTTATTGAAAAAAATTGTCAATTTTTATTACAATTATTTTTTTCGAAAATAATATCATATAAAAACAGGAGCTAATACTTATCAACAAACCTGATAGCAGTTCAAAAAATTTATCTAAACATTTTTATGTTAGACTACATTGTAAGTTCACGTGCACTCATACACTCGAATGTATTAAAATAAATGTGAGCTTAGATTGTAAGCACTAGAAGAGATAAATCTAATCGTCGAGTAAGACAAAAGTAATAAAATCGTGTTTGTTGTATAATAAATACACATGTATTCCACATATGTAATATGATTGTTA